GGGAGATTGGTGTACAGAACCACTACCACGAGTTTAAATTCAAACCAATACTACATACTTGTCGATTTACTAATATCGATTACTCGATATAAGGACAACGTAATTTTTATCTATGGCACATTTCACAGCAGCGCCTCTAGTGGTCAGTTCTGGAACCAAAATTTGCCACAGATGAAATATTATTGTCATCGCTGTCGAGTGTCGACAAAACTCTCGCTTTTAGACTCGTGGTAGAGGTTCTAGGGTACCAAGTACTGGTCACTCCGTACGTTGACCCGTTTACTTTCGGAATCCTTAACCCGTTTGCCCTGGCTATCTGCATGAGAACAGATCTAGTTAGGCAATAGTTTGGCAAGTCTGGGTTTGCCTGAAAATGTCAGACTGTAGCGTCCGTGTTGTTATAGCCTGTTACATTTATAATTATTGCGTGTATTCTGTTAGTGGAGTGTTGTAAGGGCTTTTCGTTTTGTAGGTAATGTCTTTACACGTTAAGTAGGTATAATAAAAATCAACCTTTGTTTGATGATTGCTATTGTCGACTTATGCTTCTGTCAAAATAATATAATTCATATTTTTTATAAATCTTTAAATAACGAAATACCATAAACATAAGTATAATTTTAAGTATGGGAGAGCCATGCTTCGGCAAATAGGTCGGCTCGATCAAAATGATACCACGGCGTCACAGAAAACTCGCGTAAAGAAAAATTTACATTATAATGTTTCGCTGTGTGAGTGAGGTAACCGGAGGTCCAATTCTCCTCCATCCTCGATCCTCAAATCCCCTATCCGTAAATCTCTAACAAACCACTAGAGGCCGGCAAAGCAATTGTTGTAACTCCATTGATTATCCAACCAACCATCAGGTTATCCATCTACTTTTACATACAAAAATAGGTTATTAAATAATACAAAGAAGTGCTTGGAAGAACTTTAATCATGACGTTTCAATTAGAACAAATATATCTGACGAATGATACATATATGTTGTACATACAATACATATAACTGGTACATATACATACATACGATGGTGAACAACCATTATCTAGTTTCTAACATCTCCATCAAAGTCACAAACACATTGTTCCACTAACATTTTGTATTAGTGATGCAACTTATATCTAAATACCTATTACTAAACAACATTAAAAAAGCAATTAACCCAAACAAAAAAATCGGCTACATGACATTTTAAAAATCACGCCATCTATGTTATTTTCCCGAAAGTTTTCCTATAGAAAGGGGATCTATCGTTAAAAAAGTAACCTAGTTGAGTATTGGTACTACAGTATGGTGCATAAAATATTAATTTGTATTTGTTGCATCACTAATTGGTAACGGCGGGTTCAGAGGCCGCGACTGATCAACATTAAACGCAATTAGTCAACTAATTTTGTGAACGATACGGTGTAATATTTAGTTTATTTCGATATTCATTTTATAGTTAAACATTATCAGCAGTTATTCAGATTTAATCGTATTTCTTAAATGAGATTGCGCTAATGTTTTATTGATTTTGAAATTGTAGATGGTGTGGACCAATCGCTCGTCTGTGCCCGCCGTAGGGGGTGTATTATGTTAAAGCAATCATTGTTTCAATGCGTGCGAGAAAGAGTTGAGGATAATATAAATAGGTAATGTCCTGTTTCGCAGCGCACCAAAACATTTGACCTATTGCCTACTCCAAAATAAAATAATCCACCAAATGTTTGACAGTGACATTTCAATTGATAGGTGACAATAAACGTCAAGTCCACAGATTATAAATAGAGACGTTGGCAGTTGTCACAATACATCCCCGGGTCTAAATAATTACGATTACTTAGTCAATTCACAGTTTGGCTTGGCCTAATCCTAACGCTAATATGATAAGAGTATATACAATCTTAGACCATTTCCTAGGAGTAACAAATTCTTACTATATGTAGACTAGAAAGAGCTATTTGTCCATCAACTTACCCTATAAACTAAACATACATAAACAAGAGAATGCTTATTATGTGACAGTCCAATTTCAACATTTTAAATTAAATTCATTTACTTCGTAAAAAAAACAAAACAATGAGTAAAAAATATAGGAACTTAAAGATAATTTAAAATGTATAATACTTTAACCACACTTGACTTATTATCGACCGACTAGACTCGATTCTTACAAAACAATTATTACAAAACACGAACGGAAAAATAAAAAAAAAATTGAAGACTATTTATATAAATTGATGAAATATGACAAATTCGATGTTTGACAGACAACTATTTAAAAAATTCTACATTATTATGACAGATACTAATATATTTTTTATGAAAAAGCTATAGAACCAAAGACATTGGTCCGTTCGTTATTCTATTAAATCAATGACTTGAATTCTTGACTAATTCTTTTAATACTAACGTAATATGTGCCTTAGTTGTGATAAAAAACTAAGTTAGGCAAGACTTATTCGTATTATAAATAATTTAAGCTTTTTGAAGTATACAAGCAAGCTTAGTTTGCGAAATAATTTTAAATCTACTTATTTATATATGAAATAAACAATAGATAACTTATTTCTTAAAAAGAGAGGATTTAATAATATTTTGGCATTTACCACATTTCTTTTATTATGCTCAATCTCGAACAATAGTACTTTTTATTTATCATCTGTTAGCATTGTCACAGAATAAAAAGGCGCGAAAAAATATGTTTCTGAACCTGTCAAAAACAGTTGGCAAATATTACGATTTTTACAATAGACCATGTCCAGAAAATAAAGCACAATAATTAAAACAGGTTGTCATTTAAAAGTAAACTCAATCAACAAATTCAAAACAAGTATTTAATACCTTCACATTTCCAATTACAGCCAAAGTATTTAAACATAAAATAGCTACAATATTATTTTGAAGTCAATTTTGTTCAATATATTACTTAACACGACAATATCACATTTTTATTTAAACAATAAATAAATGTTCTTAATCACTGCAGCAAAAACTTTAAAATTATCTCTATTTATTAATAATAAAAGTTTAAATTACATATTAAATTACACGATAATAAAAGAAAACTGACTACTCGACTAACAACACTTCGATTATTTAAAGCTTAGATATCTTACTAATATAATATAATGAATTTTACAAAAATCTACAACATCACAATTACTAGAACATTTATTATCTATATACCCGATTTTTTACTATTATCCTATACAATTATCTATTATTTTGACTAATTCACTTGTTCGTATTATTATGAATCAACGATATAGCAAACCTAATAAGTAATAAAAAAAGCAAGAAGTTTTCATCGATTTATCTGTCACATTTAAAAACACCGAACGCGTTCTGAATTTGAAGCGAAAGAAATGGCGCATTTGATTGCTTCCTAATAATACGATCAAATTGATAAATCTAGAGTAATATTGCTGCTTCTAGTAACGATAAATGGAATTAGTAAACACCATACAAGGTACAATATCGATGGTGGAAACAATCCATAATTACAAATGGACGAAGTTGCGTTAATCGCATTGCGTAAAATACTATTTTAGCTCTTTGGTCTCTCTAATTCCATTCGCCATACAGATTCTACAAACACAGTCGTTTAGTGCACACAATAAAAGTATTTAATGTATATTATAGAGCAATTTTGTGATATGAGAACGTATACGAACTTGTACTATGTTTCAGTCGACACAACATTGGACAGTGACCCCCTTATTACCAAACAATATTCATATTTAGTCTATCTTTAAACCATTAAGTCAGTATTTTGTTGTATTTTGAATCTTATTCCCACCTATCTTCAATTTGAAATACGTCTCAGGGGCTTAGAGCTAGACTAAACACAAACCTTGTCTTGTATTAAGGCCGGGGTTTAAGGGAACTCAGTGAACGGAATATTCTGGAAAATTCTACTGGAAGAATGATATTTGACGATATGATATTAGATATTAAAGATACATTTAGGTAGTACACTAGGTTTAGGTTCATCTACTTAAATCTTAGACCTCGAGCAGGCATTGCACAGACAAAGATTAAAACTAAACTAAGAGAAATAAATCATTGACTTATTAACGTATATTGATCTTTGGCACTTCAACAGTACGTCCGTATTTTTTCAAATACCTTATTGCATTACAAATAAAAAAAAAAAACAAAAGTCTGTCGCAACAATGGCAGACAATATTAAAACAAAAATAAGAACAAAAAATACGTTGCAAAATATTTACGACTTTGTGACACTTTTTTAATGTATCCACTCATTTGTATTCCTTGTCTATGGAAGCTAGAGCCAATACACTCAAATAGCTGAAACAGAATACTAAATAAAAAAACTTCCACCAACAGTGACATTAGGTAACAAAAGATAAAATTGCCACTTGCACACAACCCGAAAACATTTTTGGCAATTTCTTGCAAGCAGACGTTGTGAAGTAACTCATTTAAGCTAAGTGTCTTTAATGGCTATTATGTTGCCGATACGACCCCATTACCCATCATATTTGCGGGTCGTTTACTGTGTTTTAGTGTTGCTTCACAACTACTGGTGTTGGTAAGTTGTAAACACTTTAATGACATTTTTACGGCGTGAGGAGAATATTTCAAGGTCAGAAGTCTTAGAAGATAGTTATAGATGAAGGATGCGCAATAATAGCAGAGATTAGGACACAATTAAACTCTGTGTTACGATCTGGAAGGAAGTTGCTCAACTGTTTCGTTCAGGCTACAGATGACCTCTGATAGCCCCTGATTTATTGTCCGCTTAGGTTTTAATTATGACTCCTTACTTCTTGCTTAAACACGAAAACACCCTTATAAGTAACATCTGACTACTTGAATTCCACTAATAAGAACAGCAAGGACACCAAGTACAACGGAACTGATTACACTAAAGTCATGTGTGAGCCTGTCGAGGCCCTTTCGGAGTCCTACTCGTTGTACCTACGGAAACAAAACGAAGCTGTCTACGGCAGGCCTCCGGAGCCGACCCTCACTCAGGAGTCGCGTGGTCACGCCCTGCCCAACATGGCGGCGACATCGCCCGCGGACTGCGAGTGTAAGAGGGCTCCTCGTGTAGGTCGCGGTGGGGCCAGTCGAGGCAATGCCAGCACTCCAGCTGGGGCAGTACCCAGAGCACATCCCGTGACGAACTCGTGACGAGAAGCTTCGGTTGGAGTAATTCGTCGCTTTGGATCCCATCTGCAAAGAAAATACAATTAGATACGTTCTATTTAGATTGTTCGTGTGTACCTAAATCGTGTTGGAAAAAGTTTTACAAAGTTAACACAACTTTATGGCACTTGGGGACAAGTTGAGTACAACCAATTTCAAATAGGCATAAACAAATCGTAAAACTTAAACCAGTAATAGAATACTACCTCATTGAAATAAACCCTTCACAATTACGTAACATTACGTCAACGGTTCGCATGGCAACCTATTAAAATCTGTTACCCAACTCACGTAACCGTCAAGCGTTTACCATTCCGCAAAAAATCTAAGAAAATGTTCCATCATTTCTGTTTAAGGACATGAAACATTTCTCAACCAAGCCGTCTAGCCAGCAAAAAGTTCCAACTACTTCCCATTGCCCAACTCTTTGGATTCGAGCGGAAAACCTGTCCTAAAAACGATATTCATTTAAAATTAGTTTTACTTTTTAAATGGCAAGTTGCAAGTAGGTTTAATATCAATCGACATCATGTAGAGGTGAAATAATTGCTTAGTTATTGGACGGTAACCATGTGTTATGATTGTGACTTGTTTGGAGTAGACAAGACATGATAAATAAGGCAAGTAGTGTCTTATCTGTATTTTCCCTAAACCCTTTGAAATGATTTTTGAGCTTTTAATTGCAAGTAATCAAATCTTCAATGCCAGAAAGAATAAATAAAAATAGAAAGAATGCAAAGCTTAAAGAATTTATAAGTTTAATGGTTACAACACGTATTTCGTAGCTTAGAAACCTAACTCAAATCCAGAAAAAAATATCTTAAAACAGTATTATTTGGTAAACATATAGCAATAATAATTGTTATCTGAAATACATTTAAAGATAACAAGTATCCTTAGTGCTTCTTTTAGCAGAAATATAATATCCCAGAGCAAAGCAGAGTCAACAATATTTCTAAAGTCGATTCTGATCCTTTACAAGCTCTGTGACCTGTCCAACGTGTGTCCAAGCTACCTTCAGAAAATGTGGATCAAGGCGACAACTGTCACTTTTGCCCCGACCAGGACCCGCTTAGCGACTTGATATTAATAATTCAGGTAAACTACCATAACGGACTTTGGTAAAGTTTAACTAATTTCGAAGTATTGTTAGAAAAATATTAGATACAAAATTTTTGGAAGAAATCCATCAGCTTAGGTTAACATACCACTGACTAATTAGAACGCAGTCTCTTCATTATCCGAACGTCCATAGGGTAGAGAATTTACCCGTATATTTTACGGTCCCATGGGATATCACTTTATACTATAAAACAAAGTCGCTTTCTCTGTCCCTATCCGTATGTATGTTTAAATCTTCAAAACTACGCAACAGATTTTGATACGGTTTGTCTAATAGATAATACCGTAGTGATTGAAGATAATAACGTCAATTAAATAGTGGAGACATTTAATATCAGCATTGCACCCGTGCGTGGCCGGGACGGGTGGGGAGAAAAGTAAAAACTATTTTTAACCCTCTCCCAGAATTCAAAATATTTAAACATAAGTAAAACCGATTATTATGAGCAAGAAAGAAGCAAGGGAAAGATTATTAAAACTTCTTTGACTTACTGCCTTAAATATATTACATAGGAAGCGTACATACTTCCATTTCACCAATTAAATCCAACCACAAGTTTTCTAATTATAAGTATAAGTATAATTTCTAATTATAAGTTTGAAATCGCCAACCCGCATTGAGCAAGCGTGGTGATTAATGCTGTAACTTTCTCCGTATGAGAAGGGGCCTTTGCTCAGCAGTGGGCACTTATAGGCTGATGATGATGACAAGTTTTCTAAACGCAAAAATCCTCTCATTTTCTCCTTCAAACTGTTAATAAACAGTTGTCATTACATTAACATTTCCTACAAACTCTCCACTGTCCCTAAGACGCGTCACACACTTCCTACTGGTCGCACAAAGGGTGTCGCAATCGAGAGTGCGTGACAAACGTTAACGCGGCGCGAATACCGACGGCCATCTTAATTACCTCTCACGTGTCTCATGTCGTAGGAAGACTTGTGTTATATCATCCATTACCTACTGTTTATATTACTTGTTATTACATAGGTGTCAATGACCTGGGTTAACGAATTAATGTTCTCTTGAAAGGTGATTTGTTTGGGGATATCGATGCAGATCAAATTGTTGACATGTAGATTGGAAGTTCAATTGTTTTAAGTGTGTCGTGATTACATTTTTTATGAGATTGGTCGACTAATGGGGAGTTTGATTATGCATACATGTGTACAGTTTGATGTATAGTTATGTTTGAGAGTTCAGTGAATAAGATAAAAGTAAGTATTATAGTCATCGCTTTTTAACACAAATATGAAAATATGTGACAAAGGATTTTAACATAAAATAAGGAATGCTACGCTTACGGGTGTGCCGAGATCTTGGAAAAATTGAAATGAAAGTGAATTGAAAAATTACTGTTATTATCTAACGGTTGGCGCAGTGGCTGAGCAGCTGGCTGCTGTACAACGTGTAGCGGGTTCGATTCCCGCATGGAACAACACTTTGTATAATCCAAAAATTCTTGTTCCTTGTCTGGGAGGCTTATTGTATATGTGAATTGGTATCTTTGTAAACGCACCCATGACACAGGCCGGGGTTGCGGGGTAAGCGCAATGAGGCACCGCGACCTCGGTCCAGAGCAAAGGAAAGAACAGGGGGGTTTTTAGTCAGTAAGACTTTGACACTTCCTCTTACTCGGCCCTGGGCGGGAGAAGTCATTTGATGATTTTCCCCTCACAAAAAAAAAACACCCATGACACAGGAGAAAAAGTTTAGAGCAACTTTTTTGAAAGACAAAAAAAAGACGTTTAGCCGCAAGCATGACCTCACGTTTTAGAAAAGTATCATAACCTAATCTATAAGGAATGCGGATTAGCAGCAGCGTATGCAGGAGATGGCACGCACTGACGCTTCTAGTTATATAACAAGTACATATATTCGCAGACTTGTATGGTTAGGTACTGGTAACTTTATAGATAGATATATTCAAAGTAAGTAAGTCACACCTAAAGTAAACTAAGCAGATAATAACGTGTTCAAAGATATATGTGGTAATTCGAGACAAAATAGAAGAAAAATAGTAACGAACGCCGGCGTTCACTTGGGGTTCGATGAATTGAAACGAGTTTAAAAAAACGAAGATCCGATTGATTCTTTGTAGACATTTTTTTTTTTAGATTTTTGGGGATGTTCGTGGCATTATATGTATACCTCAAACGCACTCAATAACACAGTTATGGACTTGAAAAAAAGAAAACAAAATGATAAATACGAAACACCAGTTTAACAAAAACATTTTCGAAAAAAAAAAAACGTTTTCGTTTTTCGTTATACAAACCCAAAACGCAATACATATTCTTTATTGTTAATCACCTTATTTAATTGTTAGATTTTAAGAAATACCAGTAGATAGAGACTAATTATTGATTACAAAAGCTTCAAAGTTTAGGACATTTTGAACACCCGCTGAGCTGCTTTACGTAATACGGTCTGCTGATCAATAGCTAAGCTAAATCAGTAAATATATTGCTGAGGCTAAAAAAAAACAAAAAAAAAGTGTTAAACAACCTTTTTAGTCAGATGACCTAAAGAAAGAGTCGTGACTCAGATTAAAAATGATGACATTGCAGCAACTTCATTGAGTTTTTTATTGGTTAGGTCGGTAATCGAGCAGACGGATTACCTGATGGTAAGCAATCGGCGCAGCCCATGGGCATCCGCAACACCAAAAGAGTGACGAATGCGTTGCCGGCCTTTTGGGGATAAGGGTTTCGAATATTTGAGGATGGGGAAAGTTGTGTTTTGCCGTGTGAGTGAGGTTATCGGAGGCCCAATCCTTTCCCTCCCCCGATCCCTAAATCTCCAAAACCCCAAACCCTAAAAGGTCGGCAACGTAGTCGTAATTCCTCCGTTGCACATGGACACCCCCATGGGCGGCGCTGATTGCTTACCATCAGGTAATCCGCCTGTTCGTTTGCCGGCCTCTATCATAAAAAAACTAGGTACTTCAAATTATAATGCAGTCTTTTTTTTAATAGATAAAAGGTTTTAGTATACAATTCATGAAGGTTTTACGAAGTCGCGCGCAGGATGCTAGTACCTACTAAAAAAAAAAAAAAGATTAGTGCTACAACGATATTCATTTATTCCATTCAATGCAGTTTGAATATATTGTACTGGACATCTCACATAAACCTGCGTTTATGTAAAGCACGCAGAAGTCTAATCTAATCATGTAACATCATGGAAATGAGAAACAGTTTCTCTTCATGTTTTCACTGTGACTCAAACCGGTGTCTGTGTTTCCTTACAAAATTTAATTTACGAGGAACATACATGCACAAAGGTCCAGCTGAAAACCAGCGTCAGGCCCAAGCGGTCTGGCATTTATGCTGAACTGGGCCTGTTTGGCGCAGCCGTGAGGTACACAGTTATGTAGTTTTCTTTATTTTTTCTTTTATATTAAATAACCTTTTTGTTATTATGTCTGTGTGCACATTTGTGTCAATTAACTTTTTCTTTCTTTCTTTCTTTCTTTCTTTCTTTCTTTCTTTCTTAGGAAGGAAAATCATCCAATGAGATCTCTCGTCCTAGGTGAAGCGAGAGTGAGTTTCAAGTCACTGACTAAAACCACTCCATGCCTCCTTCTCCGCCGGGCAGGGCCTGCGCTACATTGTCATGCTTGATCCGCTACCCTGGATGTTCAATCTTAAATTAATGACGCCGTCTGCCATATTTGTCGGTTGGTGCAGGGATAAGCGAACTTTCCAACTCGATCCCTGCTCAAGAAAAGTGTATATTATAGTGACTTTGTATATACATATTTTTTTTATATAATAGGTCAGCAGACGAGCACATGGAATACCTGATGGTAAGCAATCAGGCCGCCCATAGACACCCACAACGGAGGAGTTACGAGTGCGTTGCCGACCTTTTAGGGATTAAGGATTGGAAGATTTAGGGA